ACCAGAAAACATTACACTTTTAATCTTGTACACTTTCAATTGTCCTGATCATATATAAATGCTCTGACTCTAGTCATGTCCTAATATGTAAATTCTCAAATCTCTGAAAAATATTCTGCTAAAGGTATTAATGATTATTTCCCAAAATATCATAGTAACACTTACCAGATGCTTTCCACTCTACAACGTGGACAACCATCATTAAAGCTTTCAATATCAAGGTCTAGGGATATGGATTAAGTGGTAAAGTGCCTGCCATGAAAGCATAAGTTCCCTACCATCCACATAAAAAAAGCTGGGCCTGGTGAGTGTTTATCTGAAATTTCAGTGCTAGGGCCAGATCGGTGTTGGACAAGGTGAATTCCTGGAGCTCACTGGCCAATCAGTCCAGTAGAAGCATTGAGTTCCAGGCTCATCAAGAGACCCTGGCTCAAAAAATAAGGAGGCAAGTAAGTAAGGAAGACACTCAACATACCTCTGCCAACACACACATAAACACACATGTGCACATGCACACATGGATGTGCATATACCACACATGAAATAAACGAAAATAAAGCTTCAAATATCACTTTCATCCTTTTCCATTTCTTGAGGGTTAAGGCAGTGGGGGACAGCTGTGGGATTTCTAGCTCTCAATTTCAGTATCAGTAAGGCCAGCAACTCTGCACCATGGTGACAAAACACAGAGCATCATTATATAAAACCAGGTTTGTTTTCTTTTTCTTGTTTATGAGAAGTCTGCAGAACAGTAGAAGGATTGGCTGGTGGGTTGCTCTTTTCCAAGCAGTGATCAAGGTTTCAAGATGTTTTACATTATAGCTTTGCCATCTCAGATCCCTGCCTATAGTGTCAAAATAGATGATAGATTAGATTAGATTAGATGATTAGATAGATGATGATAGATAGATAGATAGATAGATGTTAGATAGATGATAGATAGATAGATAGATAGATAGATTGATTGATAGATGATAGACAGATGATAGATAGATAATAGGATAAGATAGATAAGATATATGACCTCTCCAGCTATGTGTATTTGGCTATGTTTACAGTGCCACACATGAGTTCCCTCCCATTGAGCAGGCTTGAAGTTCAATTAGATAGCTGCTGATTATTCCCAAGATAAGAGTACCACTATTATAAAAATGGAGATAGTTTGCCCTGCTGGTCATTGTTCTGGTTTTTGGACTTTAAAGCTTAGTTGATTTTTCTCTCTTAACATCTTGCCTAGTATCCTCTAAAACCATGAGAGCTAGTCTTCAGGGAGGAGGCTTCCAGGTCAGTTCCAGCTCCATTGCTCCCTGTCTTCAGTAATAGGGTCTTACCTTCAAGTTCTGGGAGACAAGCAAGGGCTATGGATACAGGCTGTGTTATTCCAGGAGTCTCTTGAACCATCCTGAACAACAAGCCAAAGGGATGTTTCTCCTGCTGGGCACTTTTTTAATGTTATATAGCTTTATCTATTGACAGATAGATGATAGGTGATAGACAGATGATGGATGGATAGATAGATAAATAGATGATAGATAGATAGATAGATAGATAGATAGATAGATAGATAGATGATAGATAGATAGATAGATAGATAGAATGTGTATTTTTCAGTAGGCTTTTGAACTAATACATTTTCCTCTGGTTTTTAAGACCACCTAAGCATTATTTACCTCCCCTCATTCTATTTTTATTTAATGTCTGTACCCTCTCCCTGAAATTATTTCTTAAAGTCTCTAAATTTAAAATTTCTGTGTTAAACTTAGTAATGCTCAGTACTTTATATTATTTGAGAAATCAGATTGTTAGATTATTTCCATTCAATCAATTTCCTTCTGTTTTTAAAATATTCCTCCTGTGTCTCAGTCTTCACGTCTATCACCAGATTCACTCTTGTGCAGCTACTGAGCTATGCCCCCAGTACACCCGTCAAGTTCTTTTGGAATAATTTTAGAAATATATATTAATTATACAAACCAGCTGATTCCATAACAATATCAATTGATTTTATTCTTCCGTTTCCTTCGGCATGTCCTTCAGACATAAACAAAGACCACATTCTAGGAAAAGGAAAAACTCAAAACTGTCAAGACTGTGATGTAGAAATAAGACATAAAGGCTGTTTTAGAATACCTTTGATCACTTTGCTCTCGTCATACATAGAATTTTAATCTGTGTACTAACCTGTGTACCATTTTCATAGTGTATTCATGTTTCTTGAGCCACAAATTCTATTTCCCTCATTTATTGAGCTTTCTTATTAGCATTCAAGGAGCAGTCTAGCAGGCAAGTAACCCAACAAAGCCAATTTGTGAATGTCAGAAAAATTAGCCCACTTCAAAAGTGATCAAAGATGTCTGAGTTGAAGAAAAATAGAGTCAGAATTATGCCAAGTGCAAACAACTAAATTTCTCATCGAATTGATTTTGCTTAAATTAAAATAATGCTTACAAAGTCATTTATCTTAAGCTAAATGCTAAAATAAGAGGTTTTATTATTTTATTGCACACTTTAGCATTATAAAATATAAATTGACTTTGAACATAACAAAAACATGTTGATTTCAGAGGGAGCCTTCAAACTGATCCCTAAGTATATTGAAAATGCAGATAAGCCAGGGGGTCTAAATACATTCAAAACATATTGTATGGAATTCACAAAAATTCAATTTAAATAAGGGAAAAAATTAAAAAAGAAAGTCAAGGAAACTCAAAATCCAGAACACAAATCATTATTTTTTCCCTCACTCACAAGTCATTTCAGAAGGAAATGACGTGTCCTGCTAGTCTGCAACTTTAGTTTATAGAAATACATACTTAATTGACTATGCGTCCTAACAGACACTGAGGACATCAGTGTATTGGTTGTTTTAAGTACAACTCAAAGAAATAAGATTTATATTAAACCTTCTCTGCTTAACGGGCTACAGAATATGAAATACATTTGTTGAAACATGATCATAAATTAAGAAAATGATTTACCAGTTTTTAAGAGTTAAACTTATTTTAAAATTAACTTACGTGGGCTTTCTCTCCCCTGATGCCCAATGATAAATAAGGCACCATTTTATAAGTCTTCATTGTTATTGTTTTGCCTCAATGTTCGTTTGCCCAGTGAATTTATTTTAATCTACAAAGTTTCTAATTTCATTAGGTCTTTGGAGTCCTAGGGGGAGAAGAGTGCCATACTGAGGATCAAGCCAGACACAGAAAATTAGGCACTGCATCACTTCATTTATATAAACTCAAAGGAAGAATGGGCCTGATGGCATAGGCTTACTATCCCCTCTACTAAGGGGACAGAGCCGCGAGGATCCAAAGTTCAAGGCTAGCCTAGGTTACAGACTGATAGCCTAGACAATTTAGGAATACCCTATTTTAAAGTGAAATGTAAAAAAGAGTTCTGGGGATGTAGCATAGTAGTAACTGCTAATGTGCCTGCATGGCAGTAGCCTAAGGTTCAGTCACCAGTATTACACAGACACAGACAGACAGACACACACGTTCGCACATGCATGCGTGCACACATGTACATACACAGTGAATAAATAAAATACAAATTTAGTCCAAATGATGCTGTCAAAATTTGGTCATCCTTGAACAAAAGGTAGTTTGCAGACTGGGAAGGAGCATGAGGCTGCTGGTAATGCCTTTCTTTGGTCTCAGCATGGAATGTTGAGTGTATTTGGTGTGTGAAAGCTTGTGAAAAATGTACAAACATTTTATCACATGTGCCCTTTTCTATGTGCATATTATATTTCAATAACAAAATTTTAAATATCTGAAAGTCAAGGATTGATTCCTCTTACAGACAGCTGGTCACTAGTACATAGAGATATATGATGTTAAATTAACTCAGTTGTTCTATGACATTTCCTGGGTCTCAGAGAGAAATGAGCAAATGTCTATTTATATCAGATAAACTACTGATGACAGACTAAAGAAACAATTCCACCCAAATCTGGCTTGGTGGAGCAGTGAACTTATTAGAGTAACTTACAGGAGCATTGGTGACCCCAAGGTTGCTGCAGCACCCAAAGGCTCTAGCCAGCATGATGAGCACTCACAAAAGCTGCATCCAAAGAGGCCCCTTCAGGGGCCAACTTGCAGGCAGATCCACTGAAGAGTCCCCTCTCCCCTTAGCAGTTGTTTACTGCTTATAAAACCCTGGGAAGGGACCTTGTGGATCTTTTAACTCTTAGATCTTCTTGAAAATTGTGGTTTTTGTGTTTGTGTTGTGTAGTATGTGCCATCATTAGCTTCTGGATAACAAAACTCTTTCTCTCCAGAAAGGACTGTTTAAATTTGGAGGAAATAACTACATCACACCCCTCCTCAAAGCTCTCTGCAATAGGAGCTAAGAGTGTTTTTATTAAAGTAAAAACATATCTACGAAATGTTTCTAAAAGCTTTTATGCTTTATTTATTTGTGTGTGTGCACACATGGTTGTCAGGACACACATGTGGAAGTTGCAGGAAAACTAGCAGGAGTCATTCCTTTGCTTCCACCATGTAGGCTCTGGGAATTGAACTCTGGTTGTCAAATTTGACAGCAAGTGCCTTTACCCACTGAGCCATCTCACCAGTCCTAAAAAATGTTTTTAGATCTTGACTTTGCGTCATTAATACAGCAATATTAAACACTGTTTTTTGTGGAACATGGGTTACAAAAATAGACCTCATATGTCACTAAACTACAATGCATTTAAGCTGGAAAATTTGGCTTTGTTCAAAATTGTACTAGATGAATCAGAGCATACTGTTCCTTCTCTGTAGCTACGCTGAGATGGATACTATGCTGACAAGATAATATACAAAGGAAGAACTTGTTGCACATGGGATTCTTGATGAAAGGAGACCCTAGAGTTATTTTCTTACTGCCTAATCTGTTGGGTTTTGAGGCTGAATCAGCAAATTTTCAGATACAGATTTCACTTACTCTACCTTCTCTGACATCAGAAAGTCCATTTCTAAGAAACGCCTTCTTGTCTTGCCTCCTAACAGAGAGAAAAGAATATTATGCCTCAACGAATTAAGGGATTTGATGGGGAGGGCCCCCTCCTTCCCAATAGCCCTCCACCATCCATGTCTTCGGTTATGAAGAATAATCCACTCTATGATGACCTAAGTTTGGAGGAAGCTAAAGAAGAAAGAAAAAAGAATCCTTCATGGACCATTGAGGAATACGACAAGAAATCCACGCACGCAAATCTTGCTGGACACCTGAAGGTACTTACACTAACAATCATCTTGAATTGATGGGGGCGATAAGCCAAGAAAACCTCAAAAGTGTTGTGACAGGAGCCCTTCACTCCAGATCACAGATCATTTTGGTCCTGGCGTTACTTTCTCTCTGGAAGTCAATAGGCCTCTGTGGGATGCAGAGAAGCAATGGGAAGTAGCATTAGCATGGGGCAAAGAGCTTCTGAAGAAGTGAAAGGTTTTTTAAGTTAATTTGGAAAATTATATTTGTTCTCCCCTAGTTTGTAATCTTGTAACCATTTATGCTCATGAACACTTAAGAATTAATTTCCTACTCTACATTTACTTTGAAATATTTGTTAAGTGATTAGTCTTGGGCACTATTCAAAGAAGTCCTTAGCAGTGACCATTTTATTAAGATAGCAGATTTACATTTTGGTCATTTTCTTGTGTCTCAGTAACGAAACAAAACAAAAACATTTCAACAGAGGAAAAGTATGCAGTGAACTCATTCACCCAGCTTAAACTCAGCTTAACCCCCACCCCCACACTCTCTCCTTTTCTTTTTCTTCCCCAGTGTCATCCACACATAGAAGACCTAGAAATACCTGAAAACCAGAATGGGTGGCCTTTTGTTGTCTGAAAGGACTAGATTCCTATTCAGCCCCGCTTGCTTCCACCTGCCTTGGGCCAACAAGGCCTGGCATTCCCCTAGCACCCTTCTTTTAAAAATGTGTGTCTGTTCCAAGCTTTATTCCTTAATCACCCAAAGACAGGTTTCTTTTGAGGGGCACAATACCATAGCCTCATACTCTACACAAACTTTAAAAACCTTGACTGTGTACTCCTTAAAATGTATTATGGTTTAGAATATTTGAAATTTCTTAGTCTAGTAGATTGACAGTGTCTTCCCTTTAGCTTCCATGGCAACAACGTTCATTCATTGATTTTCCTCTTCTTTCTTTTGTTTGACTCTTTGTTTCATACCAAAGGGTTTCATATCACTAAGTCTATTGTCAGGAAAAAAAAATGTATTGATTTGTTTCACACACACACAGTTCTTGGTGGCCACATGCCGGGGCCTGCAAGCTTGCCTTTGCTAGGTGCATGCATGTCAAGGGAGCTGCATAAAAGCTAATCTATCTGAGTAAAGGGATATATTTAACCTGACTGAAACACTGGCATTCTCGTGTATTAATTAAAAGATAAATTTGATCTTAGAAAAGCTTTTTTAAAAATATGAATATCAGACTAAGGAAACTGAAGAGTATTCACAATAAGGAGTATTTTTTTCAAGTTGAGTAATTGTGTGAGTTATGTTTACAAAGATCAAACATAAATCTGATGGATGCATTGTCTTCTTGAAACCATCTGCCCCCACGCTAGCTCTGTGCACATGCACTCTCCTGGAAGCAGTGGACTGTCAGGCTGTTTACTGGCCTCATGATGTTCTTCCTCAGGGAGAAGCCATGCATTTTGTCTGCATTAGAATTTCTTCCTGTGTTTCAGGACTTCAACTTACTTTGTCAACACTTCTATCCTTATTTCATAATTAGCAAACAGAGTCCCTAACTTATTCTTTGTACCTTCATAGAGCTTATGGACTAGAAATGTTCCAAGTGCCTTAGTTCACTATTTTTCTAAATTGCTAAGAGTTACAGGTTACAAACATGAAAAGAAACCATATACTTATTTAATCAAATGCTTAATTATCAAAGCAAGCTAAAACCAGGCTTCTATTGGGAAAGCTTTTAATGGAGAACAAAGACATTAAATTAGCAGAAAGTGGAGACCTCTGATTAGGACAGCAAGAAGACAGATAAGAGTTAAGATGGATATGGGTTTTTATAAATGTATTTTATTTATTATTTTTATTTTTTGTGTATTGCTGCATGTGTGTAAGTGCACCTGCATTGTGCATTGCCTGTGGATGTCAGAAGAGGGCATCAGATTCCCCTGGAACTGGAGTTATGGATTGTTAGCTGCCATGTGGGTGCTAGGAATCAAACCCAGGTCCTCTGCAAGAACAACCAGTGCTCTTAATGGCTGAGCCATCTCTCCAGCCCCAGATATGGGTTTTTAAGTCAGTATTCCTCTGCACAGTTCATCTAAATTCAGTGGTAATATTTGAACAGTTCTAGATAGGTGGTTCAAATCTACTCACCCCACCCATATAGAAAATTGTATTTCCATTGGCAGATCCATCCCAGCTGCCTACATGCATGCACATTCTTCTCCTAACACTACACTCCAGTGTCTGAAGCTAGTTCAAAGACCCCAGAGGCTGCCAGCTGTAGAAACCAGCTTTGTGATACCTCTAGCTGACTTAAAGTCCATGGAGGCTGGAGAGGGTGGCAGCCTATTTCAAACCCTTTAAAGCATCTAACTGAGAAATAATGAGGTTGGTGGTGACCATGCAAAAGCAGTAATTTAGCTAGCTTTATGTATATATAACATATGATACTAGATGCCTCACACAGACACAGAATCTGTAGTACTGAAAGTTAGAGATAAGAAATATATTTTTTAAATGGATGGGGGGCTGGAGAGATGTCTCAGCAGTTAAGAACACTTCCTGTTCTTGCAGAAGTAATGGGTTTGAATTCTAGAACCCTCATGACAGTTAACAACCGTCCACAACTCCAGACCCAGCAGCCTCTTCTGTCCTCTGCGGGCATTGCACAACATAGGTGCACTTACCTACATGCAGGCAATACATGCATACACATAAAATAAAAAATAAATAAAACTTTTTTTAAACAAATGGATGGATGGTAGAGTTAACAGATGACTTACTAGATGCAGGAAAGCAGGCTGACTTAAAGACTTCCTGAAAGGAAAATGGAGCCAGTTAGACCGAGACATCTAATATAGGGAAGGATATGTTAGGTATTTTCTTTAGGAGGTCACACAGTACCTGGTTTCTATGTGGCAGACATACTGCAGGCTTCTCCAAGGGAGACCAGCAGCTTACAAATCACGGAAGTAACTCAGAACATCCAGACTTACTCTTTTTTCATGGAAGCCAGTTTTTGGATTTCCTGAAAACTTACCAGACATGTTTGTCCCTGCCATTCAGACAAAAGGAAACCTACTTCTTAGGTTCGCCTACAGCAAGGAATTTTAATTGCATTTCAACTCAACTGATTTACATACACCATCTATAAGATGTAAGAAATGCAAAATTTCCTAAGAGATGACCAAAACCCACTAGTGTTTCTGACCTTGCAATGTGAGCAATTTAATTTAGAAATAGTGCAGACATGCTAACAAATTCTAATGCAGACCTACAAATTAGCTGCAGGTGCCTACGGTCAGCCAGGAGGTTATTGGAACCTATTTGGGACTTTTAGAGAAGCCAGACCTTTTTTTTTTTTTTGAGCCTTGACAGGGCATCAGAACTTCTGACAGGGCTTTGTTCTGGTCTTAGCTTGTGACACCGATACTGATGTGGCATCTTCTCTGTTGTTCTCTCTTAGGAAAACCCCAATGACCTCCGGTTTTGGTTGGGAGATATGTATACTCCGGGCTTTGACACCTTGCTGAAAAAAAAAAAGAAACGTGCGAAACGATCCAAATTATGTCATATGGGTCTGATTTTACTCCTTGTGTCCTCCGTCTTGGTTGCCATAGTGACTCTCAGTGCTTTGTTCACCTAAGGAGACTGCCACCTACAGGACCCCTTAAAGTTCCTAAACGCTTTCTAAATATTTGTAGGAAAACGTATTCATGTGTTATGAATGTATTGCTGACTGTGTGACTATATGCAGTTGTCCCTTAGAAGGTGAGCATTGCTTGTGTAATGCTGGCCTTTGTGCTTTGTTCTGTGAAACGCATTTGTGAATTCCAGCCTGGGCTCGGTCCTCTGGGAAGCAGAGATTTCAGAGAATCACAGCAGCAAAAACGTCACTACATTCAGACAAAAGCGCATTCTGGTGGGGAATAGATCGGCAACACTGGTCTCAATGCTCAGCTCATACCTGACTTCACAAGCCCACTAACTCCTTTCCAGCTGTTCACCATGGGCATTCGGGATGTTCCAGCCCGCATTGATCTTCTGGTCAACTGCCAGGGTGACAGCTGAAGCTTCTGTTGAGCTGTCAGTTCCTTTGGATCTATTCTGTTTTATCTTCCTTCATCTCTGTTTAAATCAGAAAAAAAAAAAAAAAAAAGGTGGTAGAGAGCTTTGTTCAAACCTATTCTTATTTTCCCAGGAATCCCTTATAATGACCCAAATTTATGTTGCAATTTTCACAGAACTAAGCTTGGGTAGGCCATTGTGATATAATTAATTACATTTAGATCAGTCATTCTTATAACTGATGGAAACTGGTCTGTCCTCCAGTGCCAGTGAGTACATGTCCTCAGCAGTGGGGGAGGGACCCTAGAGAGACTCCAGGAATACTGCCTCAAGAAGGACTTTGAATCCTGCCTGTTCAGTTTTATCGCCACAGGCCTAACCAAGAGGTTTCTCAATGAAGAGTGTTCCCCAGTAAAGCAGGCCTAGGGGCTGCATAGGAAACTTAAGAAAAAGAGCTGGCTCCTAATGTAGTCCTGTACTTAATGGCAATTGTTATTACTAATTTGTGTTAACTGGCATCCTGCTGCTGCCTGCAGATGTCTGGGAACCTGATTCTGATACATCAGAACTGTGCCCTCCCTCCCTCCTAGGCATCCTCCCTGGGCCTGTCGCTTTTCATGTTTTGTCTTCACTAAATATCCTGCCTTCAAGCTATCCAATATATGAAACAGAAGAAGAGTTTCCATGAGAGTGAGGTCTTCTTTTGTCCATTGCTATTGCCTTATTGTTTGCTTGTGTTTTGTGTGAAGATACTTGAAGTAAAGTATATAAAAGTAGATTTACTGGATGATAAAATCATTGTGTATGAAACAAAAATTCTCTTCCTTATCCTTGTAGTATCTGACTTTTTCCCCATCTTTTCTTCTGTGGTTGTTTCTGTGGAATGAAACAAAGGTTGGGGGGGGGGCGGGGATCCTGCTGACGGCAGGCGACTCACACTGCGATGCCCTTAGACACAATTTGCTATCATTGTCTTCTGAGTTTGCCTACCCAGGGCTTGCCCCTAAGGATTCAAATCATTATCGGGTATCTCCACTCACGGAGCACATCTGTGTTAAACCGGGTTGTGTCTGTCCACGACAATGGCTAGGCAAGACTTCCTTCGACCTGTGAAGGCTGCTTATGGGAGCTCCTACCCTGCTTGGCTCCCATCCCAGCGTGCTTCCCTTTTCCGCAGTCATCGATCCCTCCGCTCTCTAGCCTTCCTCTGTTCTTTATGACACCTTTGGCCATTTGCTTTTCTGCATGAATGAGTTTATTACTTTGCTTTTATTCTTTTTTTTTTTAAAGGTTAAATAGAAATTCATTTATTTTTCCAAAGAGCCAGATTTAAAAGATTCAATTACTTTACAGCCTGGGACAGCAGTTTGTTTTAGGGAAAAATTAATTTGTTTGGAATAAACAATAAATGCCATAGTAGAAACCTCTCTTAATGAGGCTCCCTGGGGTTAAATGAAAACAAATCTGCTGGATGCTACTTCAGCTGGACTTATCTTGACCCAACTCTGCATCTCAGTGCGTGGTATGACTGACTTTCTGATTACCTTTTTCACAAATCTTTTTTTTTTTTTCTTCAAAAGTGGCTATAAAATTTTTAGGCTCACAGTTGAATTAGTACAGTTATACAATATTGAACTCAGTATAAACCCTGTAAGATATAAAATTGGATGAGTTTTTACCCTTTAAAGATCTC